ATTTAATGTTATTAAAGAGAAAAAAAATGAAGTTGAAACTAATTAGATAAGTATGAATTAAAAATTGTAGTAAAAAAATTAAAAAATTAAAATGGATAAAATTTTTAATAAGATTAAAAAATTTTAATTCCCTCATGATTTGGTAAAAAAAACTTTTAATTTGCTAACAGTTTAAATTTTAACCGTTATTTACTAATGTCAAATTAAAAAATAAAATTTGTTATCAAACACTTAATTTATAATAGTTTTGAAATAAACAAATTATACAACACTTAACCTTAACAGTAACCATTACCTCTAAACTATTATATCAAATGGGGCTCTTAGTACTAATAAATAAATTAATTTTATACAACAGAATATTTTTGAGTATAAAATCAATTAATTTAATTATATACAATCAATTAAAGTGTGAACATAATAGTATGAGCACCAATATTCTGAAACCCCAGCATGCTGCTATCTTGGCATAAATACTGGTAATAGACTCACCAAGTTCCTATTTTAAATTATGTAATTCTTCCCACAATTAATAATAACTAGATAAATCAGAAGGAGCATGCCTTGTTTCAAGCAAATTCCATACCTCCTTAGCTTTATCATCCCGTCCAAGCTGGAGGTGGATGGAAGGAATGGAGGAGTTACATAACCAAGTAATAATCTAATGATTTTTGCTATTCTAGTCCTCTTAAGAGTTCCGCAAATTTCTCATCCATGCCTCACCGGTAACTTCCTTTGGAGGTTTAATATCACCCAACTTATATCGCCATAATGATTGTGGAAATTGGTTGTGCTACATCAATCAGACTTTTCCATAATGAGAAATAACCAAAAGAAGTGAACCATACGGTAAACTTGTTATCATTTTAAAGTAGTGAATTTAATGTTCCAATTTCAATATAGATGCATAATAAGGTTACCCAAAAATCTTTCCTGTAATATATATTTTTGTCTTGCAAGGCTAGCTGAGGTTACGGTAAAACGAGCAGACTTGTCACTTGCACAACATGACCAGTGATGAAATACAGATCAGAGTCACCGAAGACGAGATTAAGAAATTGAAGTTATTGGAGGAAGCCGATACAGTTCCATTGACATCAAACAAGCCATTAATTCAGGAGGTTCCGAGTAGCTTGTGCTCGTGCTACAGTCAGAGGGAATGCAGACGATATTTCAAACCAATTTCTGTTGCGATCGGTCCCCTCAGCCATCGAAAAAAGACTAAAACAGATTTGAGATTTGAAGGAGTTGAGAAGTGGAAGTCCCGACTGGCGGCGAAGTTCATCAAATGTAGTAGGGGCACGGCGCTAGATTTCTACGAGAATGTCAAGAAAAAGATATATAGCTTGAGGGAATGCTATAACTTCAAAGAAGGACAGAAATGGACAGATGAGAACTTGGCCTGGATGTTCCTAGTGGATGGCTGTGCATTGTTGCATTTCATAATCCTTGATGCGAACGGTGTGTGGGAGAAATTCAGAGTTGAGAATGGTCTAGTCTGCATTGAGAAGGTTGATATTTTCTTACTTGAGAACCAACTGCCCTACCAACTTCTTGAGATATTGATAGACTCGTTTGTTGAATTCTCACCTGTAGAATTAAGACAAGAACGTAGGAAGTCATTCAAGAAATATATCACCGAATTCGTCAATAGGATTTTCTGGAGTCTGATTGCACCGGAACAACACCAAATTCATGTTGATCATTCTCAGCCTCGTCTTTCTCATGAGCAAGAAGAAGAAGAAGAAGAAGAAGACCCTGTTCATCTTCTAGACTTGTTGCGAAGAAGACTGATGGGAGTCAAATTGAAAAAGAATGGCAATAACCCAGAACGGTTTAACGAAGCTGGTTCGTTGGAAACACTACTGAAAGAAGATAAAAGCGAAGAACAGCCTTCAATTTCAATTTGCAACGTAAAGGAGCTGAAAGAAAAGGGTATTCTTTTTAAAGCGAGGAAAAAGGTAGATGCCATCACAGATATTGATTTCAATTACCGTTGTTGCATGCCAACCCTTACGCTGGCTCCCATTTCTTTGCCAAACACCACCATGCCATTGTTGCTGAATTTGATGGCGTATGAGCTGTGTTTGGATTTCAAAGAAGATCGCAAGATCACCTCGTACTTGTCATTCCTCGACTCCTTGATTGATAATGGGGAGGATGTGAAGGAACTGAGAGAGGCAGGCGTGTTGCACCACGGATTAGGAAGCGATCAAGCTGTAGCGAAGCTGTTCAACAAGATCAGCCGCATCCTGGTGCCAAAACTTGAGAGAGACTCAATATTGAGACGTAATATCCATGAATACTGCAGCAACAAATCACACCCCCGCTATCTGTGTGCCAGCACCGTGGCTAAACTCACTGACACCTATTTTAGGAGTCCTTGGAGCTTCGTGGTCTTCCTCGTTGCCTTGGTAGGTCTTATTTTGACAGCAATGGAAGTTTATTATAGCTTCGAAGGTATCTCGGACCCCCACTGAACTTTAATTACTATATATATTAATAGCGTTCTTAAAATATGTCTTAGGTTTCAATTGGGTTGGTAAAACAATTTTATGTATTTCTGTTGTTATTACTGTTATTATATTTATGATATTTTTTATTAAATATTAATTGTTATTATTTTGTTTATATTAATTATTAATAAAGTCAATATTATTTTACCTTTATTATAGTCCTTATGGACTACACCAATAGCTAATTTTTTTTTTTTATAAAAATGATGATTAATAAGTTAATATTATTAAATATTAATAATTAAAAATTCAATTTTCAAATCAAATAAACAACTCACCTACTTCAGTGAAGTACAAAACCATCAAATCACTTGGTCAAATTCAGATAACTAATAAGTTCGGTAGTATATAATCCATTCATTACACATACTGACAAGAAATAGTCATCAGTATGGTAATAGAAAACTACACCGACAGTTATTTATGACCAATATCTTCAAACTGTTTACTATAATGATGGATGTGACATACAGATGACAACACATTAGTATTATATTATTCTGTCAATAAATATTGTGGTGTTTAGTGACACATTATTCGTCGGTATATTTCTTAAGATGTACTTACGATTGTTTTTGCAATCGATTTGATAGGAGTTATACTAATGCCCCTTCATCTGTATAGCCTTTTTTTTTTTTTAATAAAAAATGATAATATTGCTATATCTGGATCCCTTTAC